ATATATAATAAATATAAAATTTGGCAACACTGTAGCCCTGTTGGTAGATTTATTGCTTCTCATCAAGAAGGTTGCTAGTACAAATCCCAGCTTGGGACTTTTCTGGATGGTATTTGCATGTTTTCTCTGTGCATCGRTTTTCTCCAGRCTCTCCAGTTTCCTCTTACAGACCAAAGATGTGAACCTTAGCTTCACTGGGTTGGTCTCAAACAGATGATTGTTCTGTAAATGTTATTGTTTTGATCATGTTCAAGTCTAAGTGACTTCAAAYCAGTTTGTCTGTAGGATGGTGGTGAGACTGAACCCCAGAACTCAGGCTTCGACACGAAGAGTCCAGAATAAAGTCATTTATTTAAAGTAACAGGCCAACATGGCAGCAAAACAAAATACTGAACAAGAGACACAGAAGGAAACCAGGGCACAGCCAAATGATGAAGGGATGAGGAGGTGGAGAAAGAGGACCAGTTAAACAAAGCAGGACAGAGTGGAAAGTGGAAACAGCTGGGTGAAGAGTAAGTACAGACAGGTGTGATGACAGAAACAAAGAAAAAAAAAAACACAGGACTGACTGATGGAAAGATGAGAACGAACATGCAGAAACACAACCACAAGAGGGAGACACAGATCCTCACATTGTCAGAAACTCCTCAGCCATGTTTTTCTCTCCAGTCTGTCCTGCCTGGGAATATCAGGGGCAGGCGCACAAACTCCTCCACCCTGATGRGGTGACAATTCAAGCAGAAGAAATTTCATTTTTGGAAGAAATTGGGAATTTTTAACTTTTTCCTATGATTTTACGACAAAATGCATAAAAAAATCAATTTAAAAAGTTTATATTGATAGTGAGGCCTGAAGTTGTTAAATTGATCTGATGTGGTGGTAGTAAAAATTACATTACAATTACATTTTATTCAACTTTTATGAGATAAACCTTTTGGGACCTGAGTGTACAAAATATCAAGGTTTAAACTGCTCCATAAATAGTAATGCATWAAAACTGATGTTCCCAATTATWGRCCAGTCAGCCCCCAAGTCACTTATRCTATAATAAAATGGTCGGACAAACTGAGGGTGTAGGATTTATTGTTTAGTGATATGCACAATGACTGAAGCTTCATGTGTTTCASTTCAGGTGGAAATAGTCAAATGGAACGGATGGTTTCAAGATCTGCAAAAATAAAAAAGCACATGGAGAGAGGCAGGAGGGAAACAAGCTGATACCAGCAAAAAGATAAAACCTAACCTRAGCCTGAGGGAACAGGTAGAGTAAATTATGGAAGAGGAGGAAAAGTAATATTCCTGTTTGAGCAGGATTGGAAACACAGAAATGYAGCCAACAGAAAATAAGTGTGAAGTTTGCTTCACTTTAGGGGTCAAAACCCATCAGGTTAAAGCTGAATCACTTCCTTACGCTGAATTTTCAGCATAATGTGTAACCATCTAAAAGCACACRGAGAGTGAACACCCCCACCAAGACCCTGTTATGCAAACGAGTGTGTGCATCTGCTGTAATCAACAAATTATACAATAAAATCAACACAACAAAAATTACATTTACACTAAAAATACAGGAACATTATTCTGAATTTAGCACGAAATAATCACATTGAATTATTTGAACTGGATTCAAACCGTTATCTTTACCTAACAATGATTTACAGAAAACAACACTCTGAAGCAGGAATTACCAGTTTATGATCTGATACACAACTTTATTATATCCTTATCTAAAACATAAAACCTTTAAAAACAATGTTTGGACTTATGTTTATGTTCATTTGTGTTTATGTATATGTGTGCATGTGCATTGGTATACGTACATTATTATATATTGTGGGGTATTTATCTTTCTTTATTCTTCTCACCCTGTCCTGTATTGAGCTGCAGTAATGTGCAAATTTCCCCACGGTGGGATCAATAAAGTTTTATCTTATCTTATCTTCAACAAGAATTCAGACAGTTAGATTACATAAAACAAGTTCACTTGTAGAATTTGGGTCAGAACAATTGGAATAGTTTCAGCCCAATTGCAAACCTGAGGTCAACGCTGTGTTTGTTGAAGTGGAGTGGGCGGGGTTTAATTCTTATACAGGAAYCAGCCAATCTAATATGACCCCACTTCCCTCTTTCTGCTGTTTTTCCTGCTCGTTTTGTTTCTAAATGAAGCTGCAAAGAATAAAGCGTCCACATGTCAGTGTGTAGCTTCAGTTTAGACTGCTTCCAACACATCAGGATGGAAAGAAAATACTTACATATTATAAGTTTTTGTCAGTTTTGAGAAAAGTGATTTTGTTTTTTATTTGGATAATTTCTGCAAATTTCTCACCCGTTTTAATAAGCAGAAAACAAACGTTATGGCTCATTATTCCTGAAGACAATATTTAAGCATAAATAAATAATTATAACTTTACAGGTGAGTACTAAGTAGTAATAAGAGAAAGATGTTTCCAGAGGTACAAACTGTGTATGTGTAAATTATTCAGTAACAGTGAGTACCAAGAAGGAAGCATAAAGATTTCATTAGGTTTAACTTACACTGTCTTGCTCTTAAAGAATGTGACATACAATCTTTGGATTTCTTTTGCACTTTTTTTATCCAGTCAATGGAAAAAACTGTGTAAATACACAACTTACTCAATAAAATTCAAATCCAACAAATGACACTAGGATGCACAGAGATGAAATCAAATACAACATACCAAAACACAATAAAACAAAGGATATTTTTTTAAATTTACCATTTAAACCTGATGCATGAAAACAGTTTGATTTAAAACCTGAGTACACTCTAAAAATGAAATGTTGGATTTACTCAACTCAGTTAAGTGGAACCAGGTAACATAACGTGGTTAAGTAAATCCAACATTTCATTTTTTACAGTGTATGATGTTGTGTGACCTTTACATGAAGGAAGTGATAAAAGTTCCCTTTATAAACAAGTAACACTTTGTTTCTATCCATCCATCCATTTTCTGTACACACTTCTTCCTTTTCAGGGTTGCGTGGGTCACTGGTGCCCATATCCAGCAGTCACAGTGCGAGGGGCGGGGTACACCCKGGACAGGTCRCAAGTCCATCACAGGGCCACACATAGAGACAAAYGAGACAAACAASCATTCACTCTYTCACTCACACCTAGGGMCAATTTAGAGTTATCAATTAACCTAACAGTCATGTTTTTGGTCTGTGGGAGGAAGCCGGAGTACCCGGAGAGAACCCACGCATGCATGGAGAGAACATACAAACTCTACCCAGAAAGGTCCTTTGTTTCTATGTTTCTGTAAAATATTTGAAATATTGTGTTGATCTTCATATTAAAGTTAAAGTTAAAAAGTTATAAAACGTGACATTTATTCTGAGTGTAAGCAGCACAATGTGTTTGGTGTCAGGTGTCTGCATCCAAACCCATCACACAAAAACAGATATTTTTCTACCATATACAATTTACAGTAGGTCTGTTCAATWTTTTTAGACACAGGCAATAATAACATCCTTTTTAAGCTACTTTTTAAAATAAAGTTTATAAAACATTTCATGTTTTTTTATTTGAAATAAAAATAAAATTACTATAAATAAGCATGAGCTGCACTTCCACCTGTCCTGCTCAGCTGGTTTGATCTAAGTGAACCTTTTTTAAAGTGTTCACTTTTACATTCTTGTCATCGTATACATCTCATCATCTGTTTATTCTTTATGTCGACTCTGTGACTAAAACCTTATTTCCTGAAGATTATTTTTCTCCTGTAATCACAAGCAGATGACAGAAAAGACATCAAGATCGTAGATTGCACAATAACATTTAAATTTAGATTYTACATTTAGATACATAACCTATAATCACACACACAGAAAACCTTTATATACACAATGTTTTTAATGTGCAAAATGAACAAAGGTCAGCTAAATAAATGATTAATATAACCAGGATTTACTCTTAAGGATGTGTGCTCCCTGAACACAGTCATGAAACTACGTTTCCTCTTAGTCATAAAATAAMTAATTCCAGATAAACTTATTAGAAAAACTAATATTTGAACAGTAGAAATATAAGAACAAGGTAACATTCATAAACTGAAAAGCTGTTTTGAGGTGTTTTTTATATACATGGTTAACATTTTATTTGTTTACATGAGAAGTTAAAGCTTGAACTGCTTCAACTTCCAGGTTGTTGTGTGAGATCTGAGGTTCAGGAGTGGTTTGTTTCTGAAATGCTCCAAAAACCTAATATATTTTTATTTTTCTGCTCAAATAAATGTAATAGYACGTTTAAAATGAAAAATATGTTTTGTTCGTCTTAGTGAACTCCCCTAAACACCCCTGTTTTCTCATCAGTAGTTTAAACAAATGTCTCTTGTCTCGAATCAGTTACTTAAAAAACACATGTTACATGTTACACAAATGAGATGGCAGGCCCATTTGTTTTGGCTCAGTTAAATATACCTGAAGCTCTGCATTAAAAGCAATGTGCTTTCTCTAAGCTTAGTTACAGGAAAAAAATATTCTAAAACTCTAAAAAAAAGGGTTTTAGTCAAACCTGATGTGATTCATTTCTTTAAATATTGTTGTGCATTATGGTGAATTATTATTTGTGATCACAGTTTAACAAACCTCAGGCAGAACCTCCCACTCGGTCCTGTGCATGATAAAAACTTATTATGCACTTTGACCAAGGACACCGAGACAGGTGAAATGACTAAAGATCACAGCAGATTAACAGCAGATTAGGACTGAGAGTCTTTTTTTTTTCTTTGAACCCCAGCCGCTTGCAGCAGATATGAAGACTAAACAAAAATCTTTGGACAATTAATATTTTCATACAAGGTCACAAAGCTTTAGAACAAGCTCCCCACAGACATGAAATGAGCACAAAGCCCCCTTGAGAGAAACAAAAAAAAGTTTTTATCAGCTTTTTCAT